TTATTATGTAATTATTTTAACTATATATATACTTGAGCAAGCGAATCGTGATACTACTAGATTTTACATCTTTAGCAATGCTTACCAATTTACAGTTGTTAAAATATTACTAGATTGAATAAATAATTTAATTTATAATTTTTTTGAAAAATGTTAATATAGATAGAATAATATTTTTTTATCCTAATATTATTCTTTTTAATTATTTCTAAAAAAAAATTCACATCGAATAAAAAAATATCACATAAAAAGTATATTTCTTTCATCTCTAATTATTTTTCAAAATTAAAGTTTCATATCGAGTAAATGAATGACACATAAAAAATATATATAATCATATAATAATATTTAAAATAAATAAATTTTAATATTTGATAGTGACTATACAACCTTAAAAAACTCTTAAAAGACTAGGAACAATAAAATATAAAAAATATTTTCTAAGAGGCTAAAAACAATAAAGTATAAGTGATATAAAAATCTATATTAAAATTAATTATTATTTTATAAATTTAATTAAAATTTAGTAATATTATTAAAATGTTACAAAATAATATTTTTGATAATATTTTAAAAAATGTTACCTAATTATATAAAAATATTAATTTTTTTGAAAACATGAATTATATATATTTGATAATATATTGTAAAAGTAAATTAACAATATTTATATACAATTATATAACATTTTTTTGAAAGTCGTCCAAAGCTTTGTTTTTTTTAGTGTGATTTCTTTAATTTTTTTACTATATTAAAATTTAAAGCAGATGATATACGAAGATATGAATACAAATAGAACAGATTTGATGATTCTTTTTGATGGAACATGTACTAACTATAGTACAATTTAGCACATGAAAATTCAAAAGATATGTAAGTAACATTTTCAAGGGCCAACGATAAAAATAAAATTTTTAATTAACTAATAGTTCCAAATAAAAAATAGTGACTAATCATGTAAAATAAATATTTTTTAATATAAATTACTTTATATTTAAAATTAATATTCAAGTTTAAATAACATAATTAAAAAATATAATCAATATCATTCATTGTCTATTAATTTTGGTAATAAAAAGAAATTAGTAATACATGTTTAAAATGTAGTTGCGTTAAATTTTGAGATCAGCTATCCAACTTTTTAAAATATCTCTAATGCATCGAAAAAATTTGTCATTGCTATCGAATATTTCATGGACCCAAAAAAAAAATGATAGGAACAATAAATGATAGGAACAATAGAGCTAGTGTGCAAGGTTTTGAGTGGCACTTCAAATACAGTAGGAGGATTAATTTGTGGGGCAACACGTGAGTTATTGATCCCAACCAACACGTGAAGGAATAAATTGTCAAGTTACAATGTCAGTAATGGTCCCAATCCCTGCCTGACACAGTAATGATCTCTATCCCTGACACGTGCACAACTCTCAACTCATTCAAATTTGAGCATTTATAATGGCTCTTTGTGTCACATCGTTGCCAAATCAGCTCTGACCCATTTTATAGGTTGCTTAAATTTTAGCAGAGTTGCTTCTACAAGTAACTCTACTAAAATTTAAGCAACCTATAAAGTGGGCCAGAACTGATATGGCAGTAATGTGGTATAGGGGTTGGAGATGCTCTAAAGCACCTTCATTTCTAACACAGGATTCTGTAACGAATTTGGATCCTCTCCTGCAATATTCTTTATCCAGCCTCTCTCCTGCAATATTAATAGCCATTAGATATATCTAATGGCTCAAATTTAATCTTATAATTAATGTAACTTTTTAAATAATTAAATTTGAGCTATTAAATATATCTAATGACTATTAATGTTGCAGGAGATAGACTGGAAAAAGAATATTACAGTAGAGGATCTAAATTGCTATGTAACAATGCTATCATAGCTTAGAAAATTGTTCATCATATATAAGAAACAGGCTCTCAAATAAAATAATAAATATAGGATCTTATTATTATTATTTTTTATAATTATTTTATTAATATAAAATATAAATTATATTTTATTAATAATTAATTTTTATCAAAAAATCTGAATAGTTCTCTTGATATCTTATTTAAAAAATGAAATTTAATATGACTTAAATTAGTGACTTATTGGTATGAGTTAATGTATATAAATTTTTAAAATATAAATATTTATCCCACAAAATTAGATGCATGATTTAATTAAAAATGACTTGCTTATTATATTAAATAAATAAATAACATAATAAATTAATAAATCTAAACAAGTATATTATATTTTCATTTAATTTATTTCTATAATATCCTTTATTATAAGATATTATATAAATAATTTTGAGGACTAAAAATAGTACATCTCCAAACTAAAATAGGATAAAAATTTTAAAAGACTAAACTTAAACTTGAAATTTTTTATAAAGAACAAAAACATATTTTTCTCTTTTATGAAAATAATACATAAAAAGTTAATAATAAAAAGAATTTATAATCATATCACAATTTTTATATTTAGAAATAAAAAATAGGTATATAAGTAATAATTTTATTCCTAAAATATATTTTTAGTTTCTTTAAGTGAGAAAATTTGATTTTGGTTCCTATATATATATGTTTTTATTTTTCACTGCTAAAAATTTAAATTTATATTTTTAGTCTGTATTATTATGTAATTATTTTAACTATTTACGTAATTATTTTCATATACAAAAATAAAATTAATATATAACAAAAAATTAATAAATAAGTGTGATTTAAAATAAATAAATGATTGATATTTTTTTATCTAAGTAATTTAATCTCAATATAATATAAGAGACTTAAAAAAAATTAATTAAGATAAAATTACAATTAAAATGTTTATTTATTAAAATAGTAAAATTTAAGGATGAATTATAATAAAATTAAAAATATGATGTCTATTTACTAATAAGACAAAGTTTAAGGATCAATTAGAATAAACTTAGAGTTTATAGTGTCTATTTATAAAAGAAATAAAATTTAGAAAATTAAATATTTTTTCCCTAAAAAAAATAGAGATAAGAAAAAAGAAAAAGAAAACAAGAAATAGAGTGAAAGTGACTTGTATGCTTAATTATCAGGATTCATAATTAGTAATTTTAACCAAAAAATAATATAATTTTGTTGATTTTATATAAAAATTAAATTTTACTTTCTAAATGAACTTAAAATTTAATGATGATGTAAACATAATTATTTTTTGTTGGCGTTAACAAGTTAACATTTTTATGAAGATCTTTGATAATAAAAACAAGAAATAAAACATTTAAATTTTATAAGAATAATTTTTAAGTTTTTTTTTCCCAAATAAAGTAAAAAAGCATTAAAAAATTATATTTAAGCAAAAAATAAATTACAGAATAAATATGAAAAAAATGCTAAATTATAGGCTTAAATATATTTAAACTATCTCGAATTAGCTCGATTTTCAAATTATTACTTTTAATTTTTTTTTTAAATTACCAGACTAATATTATTTTTTAAAATTTAGTACTTGACGTTAGTTTCTTCTATGATAACGTGGCAAACGGACTGTTACGTCGTTACTCAACAATGTATGCCATGTTAGCACATATGGTCACCTCATTCTCCACGTAAATTGTCATATTTGAAATTTTTTTAAAAAATTAGTTTCCCAAACCCCCCTCATTCTCCTTCGCCTTGCGCAGCACCTCCTCCAGCCCCAGCAACGCCGCCTCGCCGTCACCGCCGCGCTCATGAAGCCCCCGCCGCCCCTCTGCACAAACCATTCAACAACTTGCATGCAGCCCCTCTCAGCAACTCTCATCAAAGGACCCAAAAAGGCTATGGCATTTCCCTCTTCCACCAAGCACTCCATAGTTCCTATCTTGCCGTAATGGGAGGCAAAACCCAATGCCAAGTCAACATCAACATCCAAGCTATTTCTTTGAGCAATCTGCATAGTTTGATTCCCAGCATGGCACAAAAACATGAACCAAAAATTTTCAGTAGACTGTATATTATAAAAACTGTAATATGCTACCTCACTTCGTGCACACACACACGGGAGGAAGTGGTAACGCCAAAACCTCTCACCTCCAAATTCTTCCAACATATGCATTAGAAAGGCTACCCATTTTTAAAATAACGTCAATGTTAAAGCCAACAACATATCTACATAATCCTTTGATATGACACTCAATAATAGTCAAACTGAAACTAAATACCCTAGAATGATAATAAGTATTCCTCACAGTTGTCGCCCTCGATGAGGAGGAACTGCGCGGCGTCGGCGCCGCAGTAGCGGGCGATTTCTCAGCTGGTGGCGTGCTAGACAACGAGGAGCTTGGAGGCAAGGGCGGCGGGGCATGGCATGCGGCGATGGTCGCTGCAGAGCTTCACGAAGAGGAAAATCAGGAGGCGCTGGCTGCGACGAGGCCCTGTGTAATGGCTTCGGCGTTTCTCTCAAGAAGGTCGGCGAGCGCGGCGGGGGCTTCAATATTAGCACGGCGACAACGGCAAGGCGGCGCTGTTGGGGCTGGAGGAGGCGTTGTGCGCGGCTGAGGAGAACGAGGAGGGTTTAGGAAACTAATTTTTAAATTTTTTTTCAAATAAGACATGACAATTTACGTGGAGAATGAGGTGGCTATGTGTGCTGACTGCTGACATGACATATACTCTTAGGTATGATGTGGCAATCCATTTACTACGTCATCATTTAACAGAAGAAACTAACGTCAAGTACTAAATTAAAAAATAT